ATATAAATTGTCATATCGTGCACTTAATTTAAGGCTTACTATAGTGTGACTTAATAGCGCACCTTTAACGAAAATGTGACTTTTGAATCATATTAACTGGTTTTAATACTATTTAATACTATTTTGTACCCTAAAAAATGATAGAAAGCCAATAAAAACGTTAGATGATACAATAATCACTGCTCAAAATAGGCTCATTTCCAACGTTTAAGTTGTGATTTTTGACTCATTTTGGCACCAATAACAATTTCAGATAAGACATTCCATTCCTTACATGCATTATAGTCACCATATCAATTTTGGCTTCTTTGTGAATATTACTTTTCAGATTATCTAGTGTTGATTCATCTTGCATTTCTAATTGTGTGACTTTTGACTCATTGGCACACTAATAACGATAACTCCTGTGATATAAGCACTAGAGACTCCGTGATTTCAGGATCATGAAATTTAATCGAATTTCTAAAGGTATAGATAGATATATCAACCAACAAAGAGCAATGACTATTTTTAAAACGCATTTAAAAAAATCAATCTCTAGTGCCACCTTTTTTTGAACGTGTCCAAGTATGAAATGCCACCACATCATAGTTAGGGTAAAATGTTATTCTTAAATTTTAAAATTGAAAATATAGTAAAGCTCTTACAGGCAACTGGTTCCTTTTGCCAGCCGTTTTTAGTCCAGTACTGTCTCATTTCTGGTCTCAGAACATGTGCAACAAAAATGTTGTTATGCCAATGTGGAATTATTTGAATCACGTCGTAAAGTGGTTTTGTGGCGAAAGCCACGAATGACGAAGCCGCGCACTCGTGCGCGGCAGGGCTACAACGTGAAACAAGGCATTATGGACTATCGATTTATAAGATTTAAACATTTAGAATACAAGTCAGTTAATGAAATATTTTTAGAATAACTTTCACTTCTGCTTTAGAATTTTTATTTAATTTTTAATTGCGCTGATAAAAATTTATGATGGGGACGAATTTTCGAGTAGTATATAGTAAAAAGCATATTTTACATTTCATGAGCATTCAATCTAATATTCATGAGTTTATTATCGGATGTTCAAGTTTAACTACAGGGTTATCATACAGAAAATGCTTGATAACTTCGTCATTTCTAATCTGTTTTGCCTCATCTTTTCAGATCATATGCAACATTTAATACTCTTACTCTAGTAGCAGGGCATAGTTGAGTGTGCACTTCGATGTATACGATTTCTGACAACACAGGGTTGTTTGTTAGGTCATTCTAAACCAGAATCGTTTTAGGTGGACAATTTGTTTCGCTAGAGACAACCCTACAGGGCAAATTTTCTAAATTACCCTCAGTCGCGTATACGGGATTTTTGTATTTCGGCTCCTGAAGGTCATAGAGACTTCATTTTTGGCGTAAAATTACCGCAGTGGCCACATTTATATACAGCTTATTAATCAATGCATGGTCTAAAATTGTTTGTTCCCGAGATATCTGCAAAAAACTAATTTAAGCTCAGGCGTAGGCACAAATTTCATCAAATTTGTATCTCAGCTTCTGAAGATCTTAGAGACTCAAACTTTGGCTTAAAATGACCGCAATGCACATGTTTATATTAACACTATAAAGGTCATAAAGGTCCAAAATGCTTGCTTTTGGAAAAAATTCAGAAAAACTGATTTTCACTGGGGCGAGTGAAAAAATCTACTCTAGAAGCTAACTGAAATCGAGTATGCAGTTTGGTGTCTACTTACCTTTTCTAGAAACCAGGTCCTTTGTAAGATCATTCTGGATCAGAATTGATAAGGTACGCAATTTCTATCAGTAGTTCCAACCCTAGGGGGGATTTCTTAATTACCCTCAGGCGCAAATATATGACTTTTGTATCTCGGCTTCAGAACGTTGTAGGGGCCTCTCTTTTAGCTCAAACTAACTGCAAAAGCCACATTTACATACAAGCAATAAAGCAACATAGGGTTTATAGTGCTTAGCTTTGGAGATATTCATTAAAAACTGTTTTAACTTTCGTGCATCTTAAAATAGTAACATCAAACATGTAATTAATTTTGGTATCCTGGGCTAAAAAAGTCTTACAGACACTTTACTTGCAGCATCTCAAAATGTTCAGCATGAACACATTCAGATAATATTTATGGAGCAACACAATTCAGTTTCAGAAGCTCTTCCAGCTATCTTATCTTATCCCCAAATGTATACATCTAACCATCTCTCTGGCTACTTCAAACCACTTCAATCCCCACATTTTTATACATCTGACCATCTCCCTGGTTGCGTCCATCTCATTAAAGCCAAGGCTCGACCGGGACCGCTTCTTTGGCCAGGACTGGGACTGGGAAAAAGTGCCAGGACCGGGATTAAGACCGGGACCGGGATTATGGATCGGGATTAAGCCGGGATCCCGGTCTTACCACAAGTTGGGCTCTCTCCAGTACTGTTTGGCTATTATGGCTAATCAACTCCAATCCAACCTCATGTAGTAGAATCTACTTCTAGTTTCCTTCAATTCTGCTACCTCCACTCTAGCTCCTTCTAGCAATCTCTGAATGCTATTTCCTGCTCTATCTAGCTTCCACCAACACCAATAATTGTTGTTTAAATGTTACCACTAGCACCTGCAAATTCTAGCCCTATCCAGCAACCTCAGACTTACTCCTAGTAAGAGGTTGCTAGAAAGAGCTAAAATTATAACGTGCTGGTGGTAGCTGGGTAGAATAGGCATGGCACGGAGGTAGCAGAATTAAAGGTAGCTAGAAGTAGAGTCTACTTCATGAGGTGGGATTGAAGTTGATTAGCCATAATAGTCAAACAGTACTGGAGAGAGCCCAACTTGTAGTAGCTATAACGAGATAGTTAGATGTTCATGTATAAATTTGGGGATTGAAGTAGTTTGAAGTAGCCAGAGAGATGGTTAGGCTTATACATTTGGGGATAAGATAAGATAGCTGGAAGGAGCTTCTGAAACTAAATTGTGTTGCTCCATAAATAGATAGATAGAGCAGGAAATAGCATTCAGAGATTTCTAGAAGGAGCTAGAGTGGAGGTAGCAGAATTGAAGGAACCTAGAAGTAGATTCTACTACATGAGGTTGGATTGGAGTCGATTAACCATAATTGCCAAACAGTACTGGAGAGAGCCCAACTTGTGGTAAGACCGGGATCCCGGCTTAATCCCGATCCATAATCCCGGTCCCGGTCTTAATCCCGGTCCTGGCACTTTTTCCCAGTCCCAGTCCCGGCCAAAGAAGCGGTCCCGGTCGAGCCTTGGCTTTAACGAGATGGAAGCAACCAGGGAGATGGTCAGATGTATAAAAATGTGGGGATTGAAGTGGTTTGAAGTAGCCAGAAAGATGGTTAGATGTATACATTTGGGGATAAGATAAGATAGCTGGAAGAGCTTCTGAAACTGAATTGTGTTGCTCCATAAATATTGTCTGAATGTGTTCTTGCTGAACATTTTGAGATGCTGCAAGTAAAGTGTCTGTAAGACTTTTTTAGCCCAGGATACCAAAATTAATTACATGTTTGATGTTACTATTTTAGGATGCACGAAAGTTAAAACAGTTTTTAATGAATATCTCCAAAGCTAAGCACTATAAACCCTATGTTGCTTTATTGCTTGTATGTAAATGTGGCTTTTGCAGTTAGTTTGAGCTAAAAGAGAGGCCCCTACAACGTTCTGAAGCCGAGATACAAAAGTCATATATTTGCGCCTGAGGGTAATTAATAAATCCCCCCCTAGGGTTGGAACTACTGATAGAAATTGCGTACCTTATCAATTCTGATCCAGAATGATCTTACAAAGGACCTGGTTTCTAGAAAAGGTAAGTAGACACCAAACTGCATACTCGATTTCAGTTAGCTTCTAGAGTAGATTTTTTCACTCGCCCCAGTGAAAATCAGTTTTTCTGAATTTTTTCCAAAAGCAAGCATTTTGGACCTTTATGACCTTTATAGTGTTAATATAAACATGTGCATTGCGGTCATTTTAAGCCAAAGTTTGAGTCTCTAAGACCTTCAGAAGCTGAGATACAAATTTGATGAAATTTGTGCCTACACTTGAGCTTAAATTAGTTTTTTGCAGATATCTCGGAAACAAACAATTTTAGACCATACATTGATTAATAAGTTGTATATAAATGTAGCCACTGCGGTAATTTTACGCCAAAAATGAAGTCTCTATGACTTTCAGGAGCCGAAATACAAAAATCCCGTATACGCGACTGAGGGTAATTTAGAAAATTTGCCCTGTAGGGTTGTCTCTAGCGAAACAAATTGTCCACCTAAAACGATTCTGGTTTAGAATGACCTAACAAACAACCCTGTGTTGTCAGAAATCGTATACATCGAAGTGCACACTCAACTATGCCCTGCTACTAGAGTAAGAGTATTAAATGTTGCATATGATCTGAAAAGATGAGGCAAAACAGATTAGAAATGACGAAGTTATCAAGCATTTTCTGTATCTCGTTAACAAAATTGACTGGGTGATTATGTGACACCGTGACACAACACCTTAATTGGGCACCCTTAACAATTCCCATAATGTTTAACGGGGTGGTTAACGGGGGGCACCTTATCACGTGATTAGGTAAACCAATCACCTGATCACATGAATGAATAAACTCGTTATGCTTCATATCTCGGTCATCTGAGAAGCTACAGTTCTAATTTTTTAAGGACAAACGTAATTCGAATGGCCAAACACAATTCAATAAAATTTAGTTCGATCCGACTATCCAAACTATCAAATAAATGCAAAAATGAACTCTCATTCGAAAAAAATTATCTCGAATATTTTTCGATTTGACAAACTCCTCGAACCAGTGGTGGTAGTAAGTCATACCAGAAAGAATTATTTCAATTGGGCAATCAGTGACTGAGCTATTAAGGCCAACGTATGCCCACTGACTTTTGGCCCACCCTGTATGATTATTATGATATTATTATTCACTGTAATATGGCAATAAAATTTAAATTTTGTTTTACTTAAATTTTGTTTTACTTCAGAATGGGTGATGATCTAGGCTCAAGGCCCATAGTGACGTTGACAACTCCACAAGGCCTTGAGGACGATGAAGTTCTATCTTGTGTGATGCAATCTCTTGCTGTGGCACCTCTCCTCGATATTGCCTCTGATATGGACATACAGGTTTGTTTTTAAACTACTATTATCTTCGCTATAGCTGAACTCCAATAACAATTTGATCGGTACATCTTCTCTTTTTATGTTATTGATTTTTAATTCAATTTAATTCGCAGGACCTACTCACAAGTATGAAACAGCTGTTACTCCAGTTCTATGAGGACACTGTCAGCAGGGAGGCAATACAAGTACCTTTATTGACATTCAACAGGTACTCTATCTAGCAATGAATTTTAACTAGGCAAGATAATCGGTTCTGACAGTGACACCTGCCTATTTCTGATAGGATGACAAATATTGAATAGAAATTTAAACATACTTGGACATTTGAGAAGTGAATATTGTGTGCTTTACATCTACTGTATAATAAGTATTGATTGTACATTTGCAGGATAGACCCAACAGTGATTCCACTGAAGACGCTAACGATAACGTTTTCTGACCTGTGGAACACCCCTGGTATTGACCGTGTCAAGCTTCTGGACAAGTTCTTTGAAATACTGCCCACTTTTGAGAGCTTCAGAGAGGTAATTTGAATATTGTATATATTTATTTCGTGAATAAACATTATTTATTTAATTCATGCTAGTGGCATGACATTATAAAATATATGCTCACAGTTGTGAAAAGGTTGTGAATATTAACTTAAGTTTGAAAATCCCTGAGCTTTAATTCGAGGTGATGTCATGAATTTAAAAGTTATTAATCCATCTTGAATTCCTATCAAAAGTTAACCCCCACTCAAAAATCAGAATTTTGCATACGATTACGACGTGTTAGAGTTCTTAGGAGTCTTACTGGATAAGATAATCGAGGACTTGAACAGCTACAAGATAGATGAAGAGGTAAAAGAGTAGAAACTGTTTAGAATTCACAATAGATTTTATAGAATGGGCCTCGTCCAATTTCAGTACTCAATTTTTGGGTATAAACTGTACAATAAATATAATATCGGTATTCTAAACCCCCACTGATATATTTGTGGTTCACATTTCATATTTAACATTCCCAGATAACGAATATAAAGCTGCAAGATTATCTCTTAAACATTTTCTACATAACTCTGGAACAGGACTGGGAGCTCTTGAAAAAGAAGTTAGATCATTTTAATTTGGCTTCTAAATTACATTATTTCCTTAAAAGTGCCTCAAATTGAAAGTAAACACTGTTATATTATATTTAAAGTTAAATTATTGAATCAAGTTTCACTGAAAAATGATAACATTTATATAAATCCTTAAACTGATATCAGTAACCAACAGGTGGAATATAAACTTCTACATGATTGAGAAGCAGCTAGTGTACCTTATAGCTGCACACTCTCAACTCAACCTTTCCAACTCTGAAGTGACTCTGAAACAGATTGTAAAGACAATTACACAAGCCTATCCCAAGATAGACTTCAATATCTTGCTGGAACTAGGTAAGACAAACATCAAGTTGATTATATTTCTCGAGCCATATGAAATAGACTCCTGTATCTTTCTTGAGATAGGTAAAATAGTATTATAACAATAATTATGAAATTATTATTAAACACGTGTTCAAGCAATCTATGAATCTACTTCATCAAAAGAACAAAACATTACAAGTTGTAATCTTATGACTCAATTCTTTTTTAACCGTCGATAATATGTGTACGACTAATGAAAAAATGGGAGGTCAATACGACTTTTAACAAGCGAACCAGATGGTCCACATCTTGTTACTTTAGCCAGGGAGCTAAACATGGAGCTAAACAACAATTCAGACATGATGGGACCATAATAGAATCCATCCTTCTCTAGTATAGATACATAAAGATAGTACACTTTACCCTCGCCCTAGATATCATGAGATAAAGTTGAGACAACGAATCTATTTCCTTCACATCTCCGTCTACTTTATCTACTCCGAATATCCCAATTACAGCAGACCACTCAGCTGAAGGACTATCTTTATTGCAGCATAACCCCATTTCTTCAGTGTCATGATTACTTGGAACTTTAATTAAGTCCAACATTCGATAATTCGTATACACTACTCCTATATCAGACACTTTCAAATCGCTCTCTTCCAATAATCCAGTTAGTTCTTGTGATATCAGTTTACCAAGCAAATCGTGATTTCGATACACGAAAACATATATTTTCGTTCGTGGCCCGTGAATGAAATGTCCATGCGCCTGTTCTGGAAGAAGCTCATTTACTCTTATTTCGTGTCTTAATAGCGTTCTACATTGTATGTCTCTTATAAGAGCAAGCATTCCCGCCAGTTCACTTGTGTTTCTCAGGTTTTTATGGAGAGTTCCTACTTGCCACTCATCATAGACTTGACCCACAAATGTACTCTGAATAGCGTCTTTTCCGCCATTAAAAACCATTGGGTCTGTTGGACTTTGTGCTATGTCACAAGCCACCCAAACAAAGTTACTTCGAGAAAATTCTACCAGGGTCTTAGAAAACTCTTTAGATTTCTCAGTAGAGTTATGGAATGCTACGAGTTGGGCATCATCTATGAATATGTTACTGCCTTTTTGAGTTTTTACCAACTGAATGAGTTTTTCGAATCTATTATGAAAATTGAGGTACTGCTGCAGCTTTATGATGACAACTTGGTTATTTTCTTTGTACAATGACATCATTTCAAGTTCCCGCTCACATAGTTTCTCCTCGCAACCGTTTTTCCACCCATCGAACACAACAGTTTCAGCTGCAACCCCTGCCTTTTCTAATGCACTCTCATATATGTTAACAGGATTACCCGGACCAGGGAAGAAGAATACTGAGATTTTGTTCTGATCATCTGAAAGTGCTAGTTCTAATATTTTTCCACACATGATAACAGATTTCCCTGAACCCGCAGGCCCGTTTATCCACATTAACTTCTGCTCAGATTTCAGGATGGCAAGTTGTTCGATTGTCAGATTATTAACTCCGATGGAGTTTTTGATCGTATCTGGAGTCTCTGAGGCTATTGCTGGATTAGGATCACGGTTTTTACTGTGAAACGTAAAGTCCCCATCTTTTAGCCCTTTATCGATTGCATTAATAGTTCTCCCTAAAGTGCATTTTCGTGTGTCACATTTATTTTTTTCCGTGCACCACAAGGCAACTAAAATCTGCTCCACACGTCTATAAATTTGCGAGATAATCCAAGGACGCACAACATTGCTGCTTTTTGTGAGCCTAGATATTCCCTCTTGATGGATGATTTCTTTTATTTGCAAAAGAACGAGAGTGAAGAGCATCGGGAAATCAGCTGGTCCGGATAGTTCCCACAACTCCTGCCAATCTACAAACCAATAAACAGACGACAAAATTTCAGCGGCTTTATCAACACGATCCATGTGAAATTGTTGTGGCTTGATCGGAGACAATGAGCGTGGCAAATGCAAACTGAATTTAACATTGTCTTTCCACCATTGGCGAATATTTTTAATGTCCTCTTGGAAGATAATTGATGATAATTCACTTTCAGTTACCTGAAAGTGGTTTTTGAATTGGTGGCTTAAATATGGATAAGCCGTAAATTGGAGTACAGCAGCTTCTTTGCTTATGCCTGTGATTAGTTTGACCGTTCTACTTCGCTGGTCTACTGAATCCTTAAATGTCTTGTTTAAATAAATTTCGGCTTTTTCGACACCTTGCGCGCGATCTTTACACCCTACATTTTTAACCTCGATAACTATCGCATAGTTCTCCCCAATCACGACAAAATCACATTCCTCCTCTGTCTCCTTATTCTTCATCTTGCATACTTCACCAGCCTTCCTTTTAGACAAATGCTCTCCGACGAACATCGTATAATCTCCGTGCGTGTACTTCAAACCTTGAATGACAATAAAATCCCCATTTACTCTCTCTAATCCTCGATATACCTCAACCTCTGCTTCATAATCCTGCTGACGTTGTTGACTGGCGAGGTTACTCTTACTGAGCTGAGAGTCCTTATCGTATTTATCAATGTAATTGGAAAGGTTCGGCGCTTGAGGTATCATAAGAGGTGGACTATAGGTACCGAGATTCTTGTAAACTTCTTTTCCGTCCTCTTCCAGTTTTTCTATTCTCTTTTGTTCTGAAATTTGCAGAGTTTAATGTCAGGACTGCATAGGTGAAATTTGAAAAGAAGTTCGAAAGGTGGAACCTTAACTTGAGCTGATATTTGTTTGAGAGAGATTATTACCTTTGCGGCTAGGGCTGTCGCTGAATTTCCAAAGGTGTTTGCCACATCAGTTAAAGTTATTATTATTTGATTTGAAACTGTGTTTGATAATTATCTCTATTGCCAAATTTTTCATCGCAAAAATAAATAAGAGTAAAACTATCTTCGTTGCCGTTGGTTTCGAACTATCTGCGTACAGCATGAATTAATTACGGCTTACCGATTGCGCCACGAAATTAGTATGCGAAGTAATATTTGTATTATATATTATATTATATATATAATCGCACGTTAATGCTCGACTCTAAAAAATACTCAAACATTCCCGAGAATTTCCAGGAATGCACTGACACGTCAGTGCATACGCCATACTGTAAACAATAAACATAGAACTATTGACTACTATCTATTATTCAGGAGGTGACCGGGATTGGCAATTTTGAGCTATCCCGGTCCCGGTCCCGGTCAAATGCTGATTTATTTAATTATGATCCCGGTCCCGGTTAATTCGGGATTCTTGGTCCCGGTCCCGGTCAATCACTCAAATTTGCCGGGATTTTGACCGGGATCTTTTACATAATTTCATTCACTGTGATTTTAAGTTTTTCCTTTCATTCATTGTGAATTTCATCTTTAAACATCCTCTGAGCCAAATACAACAATGTTTAAAATTGCTAAACAAGTTTGAGTAATAAATTATGATCATGAATTAACCAGTAATCAACCGGAATTCCCGGTACCGGGAATCCCAGTACCGGGAATCCCGGTACCGGGATTGGCAATTTTGAGCTATCCCGGTCCCGGTCCCGGTCCCGGTCAAGTCACATTTTTCATACCGGTCCCGGTCCCGGTCCTGGTAAATTGATAATCTCAATTTTGAGCTATCCCGGTCCCGGTCCCGGTCAAGTCACATTTTGTATCCCGGTCCCGGGAATCTTTGAGCATTTTTTAGAGTCGAGCAATTAGCATGAACACGATTATATATGTAACAAATAATACTTCGGGGTATCCTAGGAAGGTTCTTGAACTTTGAACAGGTACCCCTGGCCCTCCTCATTTAACCGTAAATTAAGTTTCCTATTATTCGGCTGAGTCAACGGGGGGATTGCATAGATTCAATGGATCCTTAGCTACTCCATTATAGACTAGGTGACACTATAAACAAGTGATAAAATACACGTGATCGCACGCCATGTTAAGTTCCTAATTATTGTGCTCTCAACTTTTAAGTTAAACTTACATCTATAATGAGTAAGACTCTCAATAAGATGATATTGAACAGGATCAAACCTGCCATGGAAGACATCTTAAGGATCAATCAGAACGGATTTAGAGAGAGTAGGTCAACAACTAGTCATATTCTTGGCATAAGAAGGGTATTCGAGGAGCCCGGGATAAAGGTATAAAGATCTGACCGCGGTAATGCTCTTCATTGATTTCAAGAAGGCATTCGACAACGTGCACCGTGGACTCCTCATGAAGATCCTCCAGGCATATGGCATTCCCAAGGAGATTGTAGGATTGATACAAAGAATGTATGCAGACACTTTTGCTCGTGTGATTACCAAGGATGGGCTGAGTGAAGCATTCTTTATTCTAGCAGGAGTGATGCAGGGAGACACCTTGGCGCCCTATCTATTCATAATCGTAATTGACTACATTATGAGGGTGTCCCTAGAGGGTAGGGACTTTGGGTTTACTCTACACCCTAGAAGAAGCCGACGCTATCCGGCTGTCAAGGTTACTGATGCGGACTTTGCTGACGACCTTGCTCTTACGACAGATAGTGTTGCGGAGGCACAGGATTTCCTCAGGAGTCTGGAACTCCTTTGGACTCCACCTCAACAAGAGGAAAACTAAGTACATGGGAATCAACATAAGAGATGATGATAACCCGACTCTGGTTGCTGGGAGCGGGAAGACCATTGAGAAAGTCGATGACTTTGTATATTTGGGTAGTAGAATGAAGAGTTCCGAGAAGAACTTCGAGTTGAGGAAAGCTAAGGCATGGGGACCGTGTCACCAGATGAAGCTTGTATGGAAGTCGGATATGCGTAGAGATCTCAAGATACGGCTGTTCCTGGCTACAGTTGAGTCCATCCTTCTGTATGGCTCTGAAACATGGAATGTCAGCCAGACCCTCGCAAAACGTATTGATGGATGTAATACGAGAATGCTGAGGATGGCACTTTAAAACATAAACTGGAAAGAGTGGCAGACTTACGCCAAGGTTTATGGACACCTCATCAGAGCATCTGATAAGATAGCTGAACGGAGGATGAGACTTGCAGGTCATCTAGCCAGGCATGAAGAACTTCTGAGTCATCAACTTCTCTTCTGGGAACCCCTTCAAGGACATCGTCGAAGGGGAAGACCACACCTCACATATATTGACATCCTTCGGAAGGACACGGGGCTTGACGACAGCAAAGAGATTAACAAACTCATGCTGGATAGACAGATTTGGAAAAAAACTGTTCGGACGTTGAAGCCGCCCTAAATCAGTAAGTCAGTTTTCTGTTTTCTTATTTATTTACAAATTTTGTGTGATGAGTCTAACTTGCAATCTTGCATTAATCTTGACCTGGGTCTGGGACTTTCAACCAGGGTAAATTAACTTATCTCAAGTTAAATCTCCTTCAGGTTAATCTGTTCACTTGAACTTTTTCAAAATTTAACATGGCTTTGAAATTTTAACGTAAGGAGGCCGAGGGGGCCAGAGAAGGTACTTATTTACAGTGGTGCTTCAGGAGCTTAAATTACGATATAATATGTGAACAATCTCTAAATATCGTATACAGCTAATTAACCCACCTGGTGTTTTCTTATGTTTTCCACTGCTTGATGCCACATCTTTCTTGTGCTTATTCATGATAATGAGATGAAACTAACACTGCAGATGTTTTCAATAGGTTGTAGTCCTAGATACTCATGAAATTGTTGCTAAATTGAACGGTTCAAGAGCAATATGCGGCAATACAACGCAAATGATATCAGAGTCAAATCGTGGGCATTAATTTAAAATTGCCAAACTGTAAATAGAATTAAGTTTTACTACTAGACTATAGCATGGGGCTGCCATACTAGCTCATAAACACCAAGTCAGTAAATGTATAACAAATGTACAACAACGAACTACTCAACTTCCTTATTGTGACAAACGACTGTAGCTAGCGTAGAAAAGAGCTAGTAATGTAGTGACTATATTACCGGCGTGGCGGCTTTCTTATCTAATTATCTGTGTTACTATGTTCCATGACATGGAAGCTATATTGTATGTAACTTGATCATTACCTCATGTTCATTGTTCACAATACTATTTATATTGTATGGGTCCCCGGTCCATAATAGAATTCATCTTTCTCTAGATACATAAATATAATATTGCACTTCACCCTCGCCCTAGATATCATGAGTAGAGATAAAGTAGAGATAAAGTTGAGACAAAGAATCTTTTTCATCCACATCTCCGTCTACTTTATCTACTCCGAATATCCCAATTACAGCAGACCACTCAGCTGAAGGACTATCTTTATTGCAGCATAACCCCATTTCTTCAGTGTTATGATTACTTGGAACTTGAATTAAGTCCAACATTCGATAATTCGTATACACTACTCCTATATCAGACACTTTCAAATCGCTCTCTTCCAATAATCCAGTTAGTTCTTGTGATAACAGTTCACCCAGCAAATCGTGATTTCGATACACGGAAACATATATTTTCGTTCTTGGCCCGTGAATAAAATGTCCATGCACCTGTTCTGGAAGAAGCTCATTTACTCTTATTTCGTGTCTTAAGGTTAGCGTTCAACATTGTATGTTTCTTATAAGAGCAAGTATTCCCGCCAGTTCACTTGTGTTTCTCAGGTTTTTATGGAGAGTTCCTACTTGCCACTCATCATAGACTTGACCCACAAATGTACTCTGAATAGCGTCTTTTCCGCCATTAAAAACCATTGGGTCTGTTGGACTTTGTGCTATGTCACAAGCCACCCAAACAAAGTTACTTCGAGAAAATTCTACCAGGGTCTTAGAAAACTCTTTAGATTTCTCAGTAGAGTTATGGAATGCTACGAGTTGGGCATCATCTATGAATATGTTACTGCCTTTTTGAGTTTTTACCACCTGAATGAGTTTTTCGAATCTATTATGAAAATTGAGGTACTGCTGCAGCTTTATGATGACAACTTGGTTATTTTCTTTGTACAACGACATCATTTCAAGTTCCCGCTCACATAGTTCCTCCTCGCAACCGTTTTCCCACCCATCAAACACAACAATTTCAGCTGCAACCCCTGCCTTTTCTAATGCACTCTCATATATGTTAACAGGATTACCCGGACCAGGGAAGAAGAATACTGAGATTTTGTTCTGATCATCTGAAAGTGCTAGTTCTAATAGTGCTAGCATCTGAAAGTGCTAGTTTTTATATTTTTCCACACATGATAACAGATTTCCCTGAACCCGCAGGCCCGCTTATCCACAATAACTTCTGCTCGATTGTCATATTATTAGTAATAACCCACTGATTGATGCCACAAATAGCGGAAAAGATTTCCCCGTTTAACGATCATTTTCATTATTTTCGAAAAGCTAAAAAATTAACATTTCTGCGTTTTCTGAAGCTTTCAACAATAATCGGATACTTACTGACTGCTGCTGGCACATTAAAACTTCACGTTGACCTTAACTTCAAATGACAGGTAAAGATTACCGGTTAAAGTGGAAACAAGAGAAAAGGAACGAGATGGTACGATCACTCTTGTTCGACCCGGAACTCCACACGGGATCCCTACTGGAGAAGATACTGGTAGATATTATCCTGCCCCTAGGAGATAATATCAACAAACTACACACACCTCGTTTCGCTTTCAAATGGTGAGTTGTGGTGTTATCGCTATTATAATGTACAGTTAGACCAGGTTTATTGTGTTTATGTTTCAATACATTGATCAACGAGGTGAGGCCGTTTTTTGAAGATTATCAGAATTGGATTTGTGAGCCTGAGGCTGCTTTGAGACATGATATTAAACAGCTTATAAAATATAGAGCCAATAGTTACAGTAACTTGTTAGGATTTGATGCATGAGAACTATTGATAGCTATAACGTAGTTCTCGCATTGCACATGCTATATTGATTAATTTATTCGATGAAAATTTTACTGCCATTATGCGAAAGTTAATTTGGTCTCCAGTAATTTAATTAGTTATTTGGTTGATAAACTGATGGTTTGAATTTGTCAGGTTAATGTCGCACACGAAGTTCCCTTATATTGGGATACACTTAACGAAGTTAGCTCCACCTTGTCTCCAACTCATTTCAAGTTCTCACGACGAAAACAAAATACTAGCTCTCAAATGTTTCAACCTCATCATTGAAAACATCGGCAGAAGCGAGATGAAAGTTAACAATTTTGATCACGTGATTTGTGATGAGATCATGAAACTGATCAACCACCCAAGTTTCGAAGTTCTTGAACTTTCCATACCGTGCAGCTTATCACTAATGAACTTGATGACTGATCCACCGCATAAACTACAAGAATTGTGGAGACCGAACAGTTTTGATATGTATCTCTTATCGTATCTTGAGTACGCTGCGTACGAAACAAAAAGCAACAGAAAACACTTGTATGTGAAATATTTAGAGAGGATTATTCAGACTTGCAGACAAGCCATCATCAAACATCTCAAATCGATCGTAACCCTACTAATAGACTACATGAAAGTGAGGGATGTTGAAGAAGTCAGATTGTCCTGTCTAAAATGTCTGAAACTTTTGCTAGTTCACGGTTGGCCAAGGATTTGTACTCATTCCATTGATATTCTGATGTGTTGCGTGAACGTCGTGGCAGAGTCTCATTCTGATGAAAACACAACTGTTTATAATGAAACCAGGGATTTTGTTCTAGCATTAAAAACACTTTGTAATGGTAGTTTGGATAAGCATTTGGAGTGTTTGAAAAGTTTTAGTAACAAGGGGGTTAAGAACATGGTCGCGTATGTTATGGAGAAGAAAACTGGGAGCTGATTTCTCTCATGTGACCTCTTATCTATTAATCTGACATTTTATATTGTAATTGTTGACGAAACTTCTTAATTTCCTTATTTTTACCACTTAAATCTCCTTTTCCCCGTTGCCAAGGTAAGCTTTAATGAGACTGTCCGCGTGTAAATGGTATCGAGCGCTATCTCCAAGTGACTTCAGAATGTTAAAAGCACGATATTTCAGCATGTTAAATGTCACGCGCGTGCGCGCTGAATATCCACTTGAAATTTTAAATTATGAGAAGAATAGGATGCATGCCGGCCGTAATTGTTATTTTCGTATACAATAGTTTACATATTAGAGGCTGAAATTTGATTCACTGATAAATCACCCCCGAATTGTTTAATAGAATGACAAGGTCTCTCCTATTTGGACGTCAGGGCATCTCTGCCACTCTCTGGAAATACCATACAAAACAAAGCAACATCCAAAGAAAACGGTACGTCCTGCCAGCGTAGAAACTCAAACATAATTGCTTGTTTTGTACCCCATTCGTTCCCATTAGAGAGATGAGTTTGCTTCGATCATTTTACTTTCCCGTAAATATATATGATTATTATCAAATCAAATTACAATTCCTCCACCTTGCAGGCCTCCGATCGTATTCACACAGTACTGGATGCGAGTTATACCTCCTCGAGATGGGATACCTACCAACACCGTCATGTTCGAATGTAGTTTCCAGATGAATAAGACAGAGATTAAGGACTACCTCAAAGATATTTACAATTTGGAGACGCAGCAAGTCAATACAGAGGTATGCAGTCATGCTTGTATTCAGTGCCGTAACGAAGGGCCCCAATGACCCCGCTGTGCGGGGGGGGGGGGGGGGGGGCATCTTAGGGGGGCGCAAAATCGTCGTTCAAATGTGTGACAATTTTGAAAAACTTAACTGAGGTACTTAGCAAAACTGAGGTACTTAGCAAAACTGCGCGTTTTGCTCTAGAAACACACTTTTTTAGAGTTTTTACCGGCGTTTAAAGGGGGGAGGGCATCAACAGGGGGGGGGGGGGGGGGGCGCATTTTCGGGGGGGGGCGCCAACAGGCAACGTTACGCCACTGCTTATACTCACACATTTTAAAATATCCCTGACCTCTAGCTCTTTGAACCCCCTGATTACATACTCAAATGCTGTGTATTTTATAATCTAATGACCTCATGACCTGTTGTTGGACGGTTCTTAACTCCTGAAGTAACTGCTTTTAACATGAGTTTTGTATGATCGCTCATGAAAATGTTCCTCCTGCAGGTTGTGGACGGGGAACGATTCAAGTTCCAAGTTCCCGAATTAGGAATCAAAACGCACACAAACACTCATAAGAAGATAGCATACGTGGTTCTAAAAGACCACGATATGAGTTATCCTAACGATGAATTTTTTAAATCTCCCGATTCATCACCCGAATCATCTGATTTAGTAGTTGCCCCATCTTGACGGTAGAGCATTGCTGATCCATGCTGCAAACATCTGGTAACAGCCTCCGCTCTTTGTTGCTCAGAATTGGCGCAATGCCAAAATCTGTAGAGCTGGATACTCTTCCTCTTCCTATATTTCTGATTCTTATATTGAATAAATATAGTTAGACCACAACTAATGATTCTCTTTGTATGCCATGTTTTGCAAGTTACCCCGGTAAATCAAGTTACCCCGGTAAATCAAGTTACCCCAGTAAATCAAGCTTCCCCGACCTAAATCAAGCTTCTTCACAAACTGGTTTTTTATTACTTGTTGACCTTCACTGAAGGTCCTTCAGTAATGATAGCCACGGTGAGACTTGAGTCCCATGATGAACTGTCGGATAACTTTCAGGGTGATACAAATGGTTCTTCTATCTTAACACATATGAATGTGCTTATTTTAGCTGGGGTATACGAAGATTTTTAAAGTTCGTTTTATGTTTAAATACCAGTTTTAGGGCTATGACGAGTTTTACATTTGCCACTGACTTAATGATTTAATTTATTACTGAAAACTGTGACCCTGTTTTATTAGCTTATTGAGAATATATTCTACTCATTGGTATTAATTCATACCCTGATTAATACTGACCGCAATGAACGGAAAAAAACATTAATTATAAAAAATAATTAGAAAAACTGATAAATTCTTACCAGCTACGTGATCGAGCAGATCAAATTTGCTTATTTAGTTTTATTTATTTACTTTACTTTACTCTATATGTCACGCATAGTAATTTGTAGTAAGTAAGACTTTATCAATCGAATTAATTCTTTAAGCGCCCGATAGATGGCAGGAAAGAAGGGTAAAAAGGCTAAATCAGATGGGGACAAGAAAGGGGCCGATCAGCCATCAGAACGAGAGGTTGTGGCGAGGATTGAGCTGGAGAAACTGAACGACGAACTGGCGTCGGTAAAGAGTGAGGTGAGTTGGGTAATTTCTCTTCATTCCCGTACAAGAAGTGCTGCGGTAGATGAAGTGCTGCCCGCTTTAGCCACTATTGATTCACATAGTTATAACACTAATATTACAGTTTTTATATCTAGATTTTTAATACCTTTCCGTTATGCCTATACAAAATTATACATGATTGTAATTCTATTCTGGTGGGGGAATGACTTCACAGGCATGATGCGATTTTAACCGTACAGGTGGAAAGACTACGAAAGGAGAACGAATGGTTGAAAGATGAAGCTAATAGAACGAAGATGGAAAGTCACGAATATTTACAGGTATGAAAACTACAGTTCTCGAGTTATTGATTTCCGAATTTCGTAATTCATATTTCATACAATTGTAAAATGAAAGATACTCAAAAATGCGCACACCAAGATAAATCTAGTATTGTCATTTTTGTCAAGTTAATTTAATTTTAAGTTAATTTCTTACTGAATGACGCCACTGCTGTTTATACCTCAGCTCTTGGCATAATTCCGGTAATCTTCAATTAGAATTATCCACGAACTCGACCAGTTCAGAGCTGTATTTATGAGGTACTATTTTTAGTACATGTCTCGAAAGACCCAGAAGAGGCAGAGCACGATAGCCATGCTCAATGAGAAAAACGAAAAGGAGCTGGAACAAATAAATACAGAGAGAGAAGCGATTGTTGAGCAGTATGAGGTTAGTTATACTAATAGAGATTCTGATCATTTTTAAACTGTGAGTCTGGAAAAATCATTTTTGCACTTCATATTTATTTTAGTTATACATATATAATTGTAATTATTACGATGTGATTTCTCATCTAAGCATGAAGCAATATGTTGGCTTAAACTCACTCGCCTTAGAAAAGGAAGCAAGAGTTAAAGAGTTTGTTAGAACAGAAAGAAGGAGAACACGCTCAGGTTATGAGGGATCTTCAGGACCTTGCTGAGTATCAGCACATCAGACTCGAACAGGTTATTTTCGGAATATTTATACCTGCACGCAATTATACACATAATACACGCAATTGTACACATAATTATACCTGCACGCAAGGCCCCCGGCCCCCACGCAACAACACGTACACTCAAAATAACTTTCCAGAGAAAAACGTACATTTTTATATCACCACATAGCATTGTACGATTTTGATGTATTCTTTACGGTTTAAGATTGTGAGGAACAATATAAAAATTAAGTTAGATAACATGATACGAAAATTTCTAGTAACTATTTCAGATTTGAGATCCTTTTTTTTGTAGGAGGCGGAGATCGGTCATCTGGAGACAGAAGTGGAGAGATTGAAGATAGAACACGCGGAGACCCTCCAACAAATGAAGAGCAACTTTTTGAAGGAAAAAGCAAATCACGAATATGACGCCGACCATAAAATTAAACAGGTTTAATCATATCACCATTTCATTCGTATATACATGGCGACTACCATGCCACGTACCAACTGTCATACTGCATACTATTACTATACTTCAGCTTCAAACTGTGTTCAATTTTAGTGCAGGTTCTATTTTTAGTTCGGTTCGTTTGCGCAGCCCCTTGTATTTGTAAACAATTAAAATTCGCATGCACATCGAGCTGCGCAGCGCAAGTGAAGCGTAACGTTTTAAAACGCTAATACTGTAAGTTAGTAAAATACGAGATAACTTGATGGTCATTGACTGAGGTATTTGTTTTTCTCGGGAATATTATTTAAGAAATTTCTGGAACATAAGTAATTGTAAATAAGGAAAGATTACCTAACCTGATGTACAATAGAGTCGGAGAGGAGGAAGATATCAGTATAGGATTACGTCGAATCTGCATCTAAACGACTAGAACTAGAAGGCAAACCGATACAAGGCACGAGCTTACGGCTGATAGCCTGATATAATTTATATTCTGGCTCCAGGTCCTATAATAGAAATTAAAAAGTGGTAATATACTGGACAATAAGTTCGCAGTGGAATACTTTTGAAAAAAAATTTCAACGGACTTTGACTTGGACGGACGTAACGGTAAACGGACAGACTATATTTGAGCAGACATTAATATTAACGGTAGAGCCTCTGGGCCAGCGTCCAATTAATTTCTATTCGAATAAAATCCGGTAGGGTAAATATGGTTCTGTCCTCACTGGACGGCGCCAACCTCTCACTCCGCCATATCTTCAAGAACGCTTAAGCCTGAAGTCTATCTAAGATTTTTTGCGCTCTCGTGAGTAGCAATTACCACAATTATTACAAGATATCTCTGTCTCTGATTGGAGAAAGTAGAGGATAAAAAGACAGTGGACTGAAACTAATTGATAATTTGAAAAAAATGTAATTTACTCGCACATAACTTTATATATTGACTATGATTTAAAAAAATGTAATTTACTCGCACCTAAATGTTAAAATTATACATATTACATATGACTGAAAAAAATCTGGGATGATCATCAGTCATCACCATCTGTGCCATTCACATATTTTAAGTATTTCCCGGTGAAATAAGAAAACATAAAACTGGCGAAGAAAGCGGAAACTTCCAGGAGAAAGAGCGGATAAGTTTTGCTTCCTACTCCTCACTGGACAGCGAAACAATTATCCCTGCACAAGCGTGTCTAATAAGATATTTATCATCAACTACATCACAGTTTTTCCTCACAGTCTCTTTAACATGTTCTCTAGCCTCCTCGCTTAAATCCTGGAACTCAGCTTGTAAGAAGAAGGAGACGACCTCATCGTTTCTCGACCCATTCTCCTCCCGAACAAACTCGTCCACGCCTATATGAGTGATATCCTCCTGGACAGAAACTATCAATTCTGGGTGCTTAGCTCGGATGAAAGACGCTATTTTTGGTGCGGTGAGTGCGTGATTTGCGTGGGTTAGACTGGTGTTAAAGATGTTTTAATCACTTTGGTTTATCAAGTATGTGTACATCTCCGAACATGCAGATTCTCCTTGGTTGAATATGAGAATTTTACCATGAGGTTTCAGAAATTTGACCGCGTGCGAAACTGCCTCAAACGGGTCCTCAAATGTGTACAAGCAGTGTGATAGCATTATGAGGTCGAATAGAGGACTCTCGTATTTCTCATCGAACTCAAACTCTTTGTTGAAGAATGATGTGTCGATATCGTACTTTGTAATATCAAGACTTTTCAGTTCAGTCTCCAACAGCGGAATATGGGCGGGATTCGGCTCGATAGCGTAGATATACCCCAACTTTAGCCCCTGTTCCCTCACCAGCCTTGTCTCAAATTGTCCTCTTCCGGCTCCAATGCTTAACATTCGCACCGGCTCCTTGTCGAAGTTGTTCTCTAGAATGACCCTCCTGGAGATACGAGCCATAAGATCGTATTCAGTGCTGTTAGCTACCAGCACGGCGAATGTTCTCGCATATCCCTCAATAGTGAGGGGGGCAGCAGATTCTCTCCTAGTCATTGCTGGAATTGTAATTTGTCTTGTTAGATGGAGAATACGGAAGTTGTTCAAGGTATCATTAAATGTTATTAGCAAATACAAAACAATTCTAGCTCGCAAATGGAGGTGAAAACTTGCGAATTTTAGGGAATCACGTGACTATGTTTAACACTTTCTCTAGAACTAGAAGTAGATGGCTCTGACGACCTGACGTTTCAAATCCCTAACCCTCTACTGTGACCCACCCTAACCATAACTTTACCCTCGCTCCCACTAAATCGCTCGCCACAATTTAAAAAAAATTCTTTTGTAAAGACTATGAAGGTATGTATAAAACTACTTTAGATCAGCGTATTTTTGGACGCTGATTTCGAATCATACCCCATGACGTAGGGTAAAAATGCTTCCCTGGAGAGTTATGGGCACCACACCATTTTCATTTTGGTCACGTGACACTTGACAGGCTAGTAAAACACTAATTCGATTGTTTAGGACTCGGGTTAGGGTTGGGGTTGTGGTTAGGGTTATGGATAGCTTCGGGGTTAGAGTTGGGAATTGGGATTAGGTTTTATGTAAAACTGTATTGTTCGGCTGCAAAACAATAAAAACCAAAGTCACGTGATAATTTTTGGGCGAGCGAATTAGAAAGAGCCCTTTGCCCTAGCACAAAGTGCAAGTTATTGATGATAATATTCGATGAAATAGTAATTAAAACGCTCAGAGGCATCCAAAACTAATAAAAATCTAAAATGTTTTCATCTTTTTTTGTCGTTTTGTTATTCAATTTTGGCATATAATTGTTTAATAGGCATCTTTGTAAAGATAATAAAATAATTCGGATGCAATATTTTGTTATGTTTTAACGATGTAAACTTGTATAGTGAATTTTACCAAAACCCATAATCATGGGTAGAGTGGACCGCTGCCAGTGTCTCTCTTTCCCAAACAAAAGGAAATGATATTAATTTGATTGACCGTTCTCAAATGCAAGATGATACCGAGAATGAAATCGGTCGCTCGCTTTTCCCATTCATTCACGGCTTACAATCAATCACATGCTGTAAAAATCTCTTTGGGTTGCGTTCGGGTCGATATACCTAGTATTTCGGGATGGGGGGGAACCAACGGGCATTAATGGCAGTATTTTAAAATTTTGCTCAGACTGCCACTGCCATTAATGCCCATTAATGCCCATTAATGCACATTAATGCACATTAATGCCCATATTTAATAGAAAAATCGAAACCATGAGACACGTGCTTTCTCGACAGTAGTAGTTCTCTATCTCAGATGGCAGTCTAATACACAGACCACATGAGCACCAGCTTTCAATCGGTACTAGAGCACTGAGGAGAGATCCTTCCGGGATGTATGATCCTTCTTCGTCTGTATCAGTATCGCATGATCCATAGCCTTGCTGGCTCGGGTGGGCGACAATTGACCCCCGACAATTGACCCTAACCCTAACCCTAACCCTAAGTCCTAACCCTAACCCTAATCCTAACCCTAACCCTAACCCTTACCCTAACCCTGACCCAGGACCCTGACCCTAGCCTAGGACCCAGGACCCTGACCGTACCCTGACCCTGACCCTGACCCTGACCCTGACCCTGACCCTGACCCTGACCCTGACCCTGACCCTGACCCTGACCCTGACCTTTATCCTGACCCTGGCCCAGGACCCTCACCCTAACCCTAACCCTAACCCTAACCCTGACCCTGACCCGGACCCTGACCCTGACCCTAACCCAGGACCCTGACCGTACCTAGGACCCTGACCCAGGACCCTGACCTAGGATCCTGACCTAGGACCCTGACCTAGGATCCTGTATCAGTATCGCATGATCCGTAGCCTTGCTGGCTCGGGTGGGCGACAATTGACCTCCCGACAATTGACCCTAACCCTGACCCTAACCCTAACCCTAAGTCCTAACCCTAACCCTGACCCTAACCCTAACCCTGACCCAGGACCCTGACCCAGGACCCTGACCCTAGCCTAGGACCCAGGACCCTGACCGTACCCTGACCCTGACCCAGGACCCTGACCCTGATTCTGACCCTGACCCTGACCCTGACCCTGACCCTGACCCTGACCCTGACCCTGACCCTGACCCTGACCCTGACCCTGACCTTTATCCTGACCCTGACCCTAACCCTGACCCTGACCCTGACCCTAACCCAGGACCCTGACCGTACCTAGGACCCTGACCCAGGACCCTGACCTAGGATCCTGACCTAGGACCCTGACCTAGGACCCTGACCTAGGATCCTGACCTAGTGGGGAGCATAATTAGATCTCCCAATATCTCGGGATAGGAAGCAGATAAAAAGGTCCGGTTTTGACTAATCTCAGTTATATGTTACATAACAACAATATATTAAAATATAAGGGTGGGTTATTTTTGGGCGTCATGAACCTTTAATAAGGTCTGTAGACAGGATATTTATTGTAGGTATGAAATAGACGTGACCTGAAAGTTTCAAAAGCGAATAAAAAAGTATGGGCATTAATGGCAGTATTTTAAAATTTTGCACAGACTGCCACTGCCATTAATGCCCATTAATGCCCATTAATGCCCATTAATGCCCATAAATGCCCATTAATGCCCGTTGGTTCCCCCCCCCCCCACCCCCCCCCCCCCCCCCCCCCCCCCCCCTTCGGGATAAGGGTGGTACTGGTAGTTAGTGAATTAGCTGAAGTTTATTGATTCTTTATTGCTGAGTACAGCTGCCTTCGGGTAGTTCTTCTTAATCTATTACATTTACAATTGTAAATTAATGGGAAAAGCGAGCGACCGATTTCATTCTCGGTATCATCTTGCATTTGAGAACGGTCAATCAAATTAATATCATTTCCTTTTGTTTGGGAAAGAGAGACACTGGCAGCGGTCCACTCTACCCATGATTATGGGTTTTGGTAAAATATCACCTCTTTTTGATTATAATGTCAGGGTACTTTATAAAGTCGAAATATAAACTGATGTCTTCATTAATAAGGAGGAAGTTTTAACGATTTCGAAATTTTTCCTTTAAAAACATTTCCTTGTGTTTAGGTAAGCATATCGGTCTATCACTGACTGAACATAAAACATTATAATCATTCAAGTTGCCATTAAATTCATATATAATGACATTGAACTGTCGTGGTAAAGCAGAATTTGTTCGAAACCACGAATGAGCAAAATTCTCACCGTTCGCACGTGCAAACTTTGAGCGGTTGTTGCGTGCGCATCCAATACTGAATCGCCGTAAATTTTTGCATAGCGGTATTTTATATATAGTTTGATAAGCGTGCAAAGTTTCAAAAGATTTCAAATAGAACTTGGATCACAACGGGACTCCAAAGTTGATAAAAATCGTGAAAACACAAATTTTCAGTGATTTTAGCAATTTTTAATCAATTTCGGCGTGTCCCCACGTGTGCAACTTTTCGATTTTTAACTTTAAAACTAGCCTAATGCACAATTTATACCTATAGGAAGCAGAACTGAGCTCCACAACCCAAGGGATAGCCCAACACCAGAGAATACTAAATCGCAAAATTGACGTTTTTATAAAATAATTTTTCAAAAAAGCACTAACTTCAAAGGCAAATATCTTTATGAAGGAGTAAGATAAGAAAACTTTCCGGTAGATTTTCAGAATGCTTGAACAATTATCTAAGATAAAATTTCCTCAGATGTTGAAAAAAATTACTTTTAAATGGTGTAAAATCAATTTTAAAAGTTATTACTTTGTCGAAAATCAAGTTTTAAAAACGGTTAACTTGATGACGTCATCAAGGGGTGTTTATGACGTCAAATAATTTTTTTATACAATATAAACTAAAATGTAAACAATTATTTTCAAGATCTGTGGTCGGAAATGGCTGTATCTTTTATACTTTTGAATCTATGGAAACTTAAATTTAGGATACAATTGACTACATTTGACTGTCAAAGCGTCTATCCCTGAATATGTATATATGTATTTGACCAAAACCCATAATCATGGGTAGAGTGGACCGCTGCCAGTGTCTCTCTTTCCCAAACAAAAGGAAATGATATCAATTTGGTTGACCGTTCTCAAATGCAAAATGATACCGAAAATGAAATCGGTCGCTCGCTTTTCCCATTCATTCACGGCTTACGAATTGTAATAAGTTTCGATTGATTAGGTACATCAATCAGATGCTGTAAAAATCTCTTTGGGTTGCGTTCGGGTCGATACCTAGTATTTCGGGGTAAGGGTGGTAGTTATTACTTATTGAATTAGCTGACGTTTATTGAATCTTTATTGCCGAGTACAGCTGCCTTTGGGTAGTTCTTCTTAATCTATTACAATTGTAAATGAATGGGAAAAGCGAGCGACATATTTCATTTTCGGTATCATTTTGCATTTGAGAACGGTCAATCAAATTAATATCATTTCCTTTTGTTTGGGAAAGAGAGACACTGGCAGCGGTCCACTCTACCCATGATTATGGGTTTTGGTCAAATATCATCTCTTTTTGATTATAATGTCAGGGTACTTTATTTATAAAGTCGAAATATAAACTGATATCTTCATAAATAAGGAGGAAGTTTCAACAATTTCGAAATTTTTCCTTTAAAAACATTTCCTTGTGTTTAGGTAAGCATATCGGTCGATCACTGACTGAATATGCCACTTGATACTCATTCAAGTTGGCATTAAATTCATTTATAATGACATTAAACTGTCGTGGCAAAGCAGAATTTGTTGGAAATCACGAATGAGCAAAATTCTCACCTTTCGCACGTGCAAACTTTGAGCGGACGTTGCGTGCGCATCCAATATTGAATCGCCGTAACTTTTTGCATGTAATTGTTTTATATATAGCTTGATAAGCATGCAAAGAGAGACACTGGCAGCGGTCCACTCTACCCATGATTATGGGTTTTGGTCAAATATCATCTATTTTTGATTATAATGTCAGGGTAATTTTTAATCAATTTTAGCAATTTTGTATAGCGGTATTTTATATATAGTTTGATAAGCGTGCAAAGTTTCAAAAGATTTCAAATAGAACTTGGATCACAACGGGACTCCAAAGTTGATAAAAATCGTGAAAACACAAATTTTCGGTGATTTTAGCAATTTTTAATCAATTTGGGCGTGTCCCCACGTGTGCAACTTTTCGATTTTCAACTTTAAAACTAGCCTAATGCACAATTTATACCTATAGGAAGCAGAACTGAGCTCCACAACCCAAGGCATGGCCCAACACCAGAGAATACTAAATCGCAAAATTGACGTTTTTATAAAATAATTCTTCAAAAAAGTACAAACTTCAATGACGAATATCTTTATGAAGGAGCAAGGTAGAAAAACTTTCCGGTAGATTTTCAGAATGCTTAAACAATTATCTAACTTCAATATGTCCTCAAATCTTGAATAAAATTAATTCTTAATGGTGTAAAATCGATTTTAAAAGTGATTACTTTGTCAAAAATCAAGTTTTAAAAACGGTTAACTTGATGACGTCATCAAGGGGTGTTCATGACGTCAAATAATTTGTTTATACAATGTAAACTAAAGTGTAAACAATTATTTTCATGACCTGTGGTCGGAAATGGTTGTATCTTTTATACTTTTGAATCTATGGACAATTAAATACAGGCTACAATTGACTGGCAAAGCGTCTATCCCTGAATATATATGTATATCTGTATGTATGGCAATTGATTAAAAATTGCTAAAATCACTGAAAATTTGTGTTTTCACGATTTTTATCAACTTTGGAGTCCCGTTGTGATCCAAGTTCTATTTGAAATCTTTTGAAACTTTGCACGCTTATCAAACTATATATAAAATACCGCTATGCAAAATTGCTAAAATCACTGAAAATTGCTGTTTTCGTCATTTTCTGTCAACTATAGAGTGCCGTTGTGATTACAGTTCTTTTTGAAATACTTTGAAACTTTGCATGCTCATCAAACTATATATAAAACACCAACATGAAAAAATTTACGGCGATTCAGTATTGGATGCGCACGCAACGACCGCTCAAAGTTTGCACGTGCGAAAGGTGAGAATTTTGCTCATTCGTGATTTCCAACAAATTCTGCTTTGCCACGACAGTTTAATGTCATTATATATGAATTTAATGCCAACTTGAATGAGTATAAAGTGGCATATTCAGTCAGTGATCGACTGATATGCTTACCTAAACACAAGAAAATGTTTTTAAAGGAAAAATTTCGAAATCGTTGAAACTTCTTCCTTATTGATGAAGATATCAGTTTATATTTTGTATTTCAAAGTACCCTGACATTATAATCAAAAATAGATGATATTTGACCAAAACCCATAATCATGGGTAGAGCGAGCGACCGATTTCATTTTCGGTATCATTTTGCATTTGAGAACGGTCAATCAAATTAATATCATTTCCTTTTGTTTGGGAAAGAGAGACACTGGCAGCGGTCCACTCTACCCATGATTATGGGTTTTGGTCAAATATATATATATAATGTATAGATAGATATCACGACAATCTGTCGTAAAACAGGGGTTCTAGAAAACCCACTTTCCGATGCTCCTGAAACCTGAAACTTTTTTTGCAGTCGATTTGATCAACGTCTAGACGCCCTGAAAAATTTCAGATCTCTAACTCAATTTTAACATGGTTTTTAAGGCACCTGAATATGGCGATTTTGGGTTTTTTACCGAATTTCGTATAACAGTGCTGGCGAGTATTTTATGCAAATTTCTTAAAAATCTCAACATAACTATTTTTTATTCCTGTCATCTTTGACATCAAATTAGAATGTTTTGAACTAAAAATAAATCTGCTGAACGACTTCCGATGAGTCTTAATGCCTGAAAAACTCCTGCCGGAGGCGGCGGCCTTCGGCCGCCGCCTCCGGCCGGAGTGCACGCTTCGCGTGCACGAAAGAGGCTTGTAACGTGTACCAAAGGGGGTATAATAGTAAAGGGGGTATAATAGTAAAGGGGGTACATAGTATACCCACAATAAATGCACCGGTCGTGCTTGTCAGCACTGTGATCACGACAATCTGTCGTAAAACAGGGGTTCTAGAAAACCCATTTCCCGATGCTCCTGAAACCTGAAACTTTTTTTGCAGTCGATTTGGTCAACGTCTAAACGCTCTGAAAAATTTCAGATATTTAACTCAATTTTAACATGGTTTTTAAGGCACCTGAATATGGCGATTTTGGGTTTTTTACCGAATTTCGTATAACAGTGCTGGCGAGTATTTTATGCAAATTTCTTAAAAATCTCAACATAACTATTTTTTATTCCTGTCATCTTTGACATTAAATTAGAATGTTTTCAACTAAAAATAAATCTGCTGAACGACTTCCGATGAGTCTTAATGCCTGAAAAACTCCTGCCGGAGGCGGCGGCCTTCGGCCGCCGCCTCCGGCCGGAGTGCACGCTTCGCGTGCACGAAAGAGGCGTGTAACGTGTACCAAAGGGGGTATGATAGTAAAGGGGGTATGATAGTAAAGGGGGTACATAGTATACCCACAATAAATGCAACGGTCGTGCTTGCCAGCACTGTGATTTCCTGCCGCGATAGTGCCAACAAAGCAAGCTAGTAGAATAACCTATCTAGTCCGCTGAATCGATGATAGAAATTGAAATTTACCAAAATTAAAAAGTAGTGATAAAAGTAGTCATACTCATAGTACATATATCCTGGACAATAAGTTCGTAGTGTAATACAAAAAATTTTCAACAAATTTTGACTTAGACAGACCTTATTTAAACGGACATTTAAATGAACGCTAGAGCATCCTCACTCCTGTGTCCAATTAGTGTCCGTCCAAATAAAGTCCGGTGAGTTAATGCCATGGTTTACAGATGAAGCAGAAAGCTAATGACGAAGCAGTGCAGTGTCTAGTTGAGCACACTCAGAAAATAAGTGCTGAAAACAAACTTCTTCGCAAGGTATTCGTCTCATTTCTTGATAATTTCCATTTGGAATGATGGAGATTCAACTGCAAAGTGGATCTCCAATCAAATCCATGTCTGTTTATCCGGCTGGATCGATTTCATACGAACTTTTGATAGTTTTTATATAACAGGAATTGTTGATGTATTCTTGTGTAAATTTGTATAGATCCCGTTTGATGCGACAAGGAAAAATGATCTGATCAGGAAAGGAATTATTCAACGTTTCAATGTTACAACATCTTGGAGGACTTCGCCGCTTCGACGCGCCGCGCAAACTAACATTCTTGCTTCGCATCGATCGTTGCTCTGCTTCGCAGAGCAACGATCTCGACGGATTGACATCGTCAATCAATACAACATCGTATTCATGATCTCAAATTATTTGTTATATACTAGTGTTGAAAGTATTAAAAGAGTTTTCAACACTACTATATAACAAATAATTTGAGATCAAGAATACGATGTTGCAACATTGAAACGTTGAATAATTCCTTTCTTGATCAGATCATTTTTCCTTGTCGCATCAAACGGGATCAATAATAATTGACACAAGAATACATTGCAACCATGCGACTCATAAACAACATTCTAATCCGGATTTGACAGGAATTGTTGACGCTCATCCGAAGATCCCAAGCTCTCACGGAACACAAACTGGAGCTGCAAGGTCAAAGGAAGGGACTTGTCAGGGAACATCAAGTAATTATTTCTTTAATCCTACCGTTAATTAAAGCCGTCTTACATGCATACTACATTGTGATGGAAACTGCATTGCGATGAAAACTGCGATAAAATCCGCGCCGTAACTTTGATTTACTTGAGCCAATTTACATGCGACAATTTCAAACAAAATTGTCGCATGTCGTATAGTATAATCGATGTGTCTAACGTGGATGTTTTAAAATTTCAGATAACAAAAGATTTGAAGAAGCTTCGAAAAGTTCACGTTGATGAGGTTTAGCGGCCTGTAAAGTCCATCTTCCCGAATCTCAAACTCCAGCTTCCAGAAAAACTTTTTCCGTGTTAATCAAACATTCGATTAACTTTCTCATGATATAAAAGTGTACAGTGTATAAGAAAGTTGCAGAGCGTACAATAAAGCTAATGTTTGTACTTTTAGTTCGTAAACTTTTATAATGAATATTCCAGAAATTATGATTTATAGAGATTAACGCTCATTCAGAATTAACTACAATGAACAAACAGAATTTTAAATGGTAGGGTCAAAGAGTTTTGTTTAACTTTATGTTTTTCGTTTTGTATCAGATGTAAATATGTACAAAAGCTGTTCATCCTCTACTGTGAGGAAGTGTAAGTTATAATTTATTAGATATTTCTAGAACTTTTATTCGGCCCAAAATAAGAGTTTTTGGAATTAAACTCAAAATCCACATTGTCTCAAATTTCTTAGGGGAGGGGGACGTTAATTTTACGAGGCGAACATATTGCAAAAACCAGAATTTTTTATTTCTTTTCCTTTGGAAAAGCAAATAAGGTTTCCTGGGGTTATAAAGGCTGCGACAGTTGTGCCGAGGTGCTAGGAGCTTTCTAGAATATTTAAAAAGGTCTATAAATTTACAATTCAGGGGTCGTTTTGTATCACGTGGTGACCCCCACGGTCGTTTCACTATAGTTAGGAGGTGCACGATAAAAATAAACTTGCTCGGATTTTAAAAATTTTTGTACCACTGTTTTCTAGAGATTGTGAGAATTTCCCCAATACCAAATTTGTCATACCCTTTTGGAAAGATCAGTGAGTTTCGCCTAGGTGCCATATTTGATGGTGCGCGGCTTTTGGAGCAAAAGTAGCTGTAAAAGTCGCGTAATTTGACCAAATTCGTCCAAATTTGACCATTTTTGTCGTATTATTCGGATTTATCTTCAGTTCCTTAAATGAGATCATTCTGGAAATTGGCGACGACCTTCCAATAGGGCTTTCACAACTGTCCGAAAAATTTGGTGGATATCGGAGTTGATATAGTGATCAAAATGGGGCAAAATACGCTACTTTTAGCTGTAACATAATGTCTGATGGTTGGATATGCTTTAAATTTTTCGGACACTTTCCTTGTAAGTCTTTAAGTAAGCCTACCAACACCGCGGCAGAAGGAGTAGGGACCTTTTCACGCGCAGATTGGGAAAATACGGCCATCTCGCTCTTAGACAGCTTGATTAGTGTGTTTATTCGTTTTCATTTGACAAATGAAGTACACCAATGTATTCATAAAGGTTTACACATGATCACATAGAAAGAATTTTAAAAATCGGATAAAATCTGTTAAAATGGTAAAAAGAAACCTCCGCGCATTTGGTAATATTGAACGAATTTGCGCCCATAATTTTTGTCTTCATTAAACAATTTCTTGGCTGATAGACACAATACAAAAATTGTGCAGTTAAGTGTAGAAAGCTGAAATGATTTTCTAACCGTACATATTAAAATTTTTCCTCAAAATTGATGTCTTAAATCACAATAGATACCATATTGAAATCAGTCCGCCGATAAAAATATTACATATCTGGCGCAAATATATCTCACTTAATCGTTGTCGGTTTTTAACACAAATTTCTACAAATAAAGTCTTTATTTCTCCAAATGAGCATAATATTCTATTATACAATTAATATTGGCAGTTTTGACATTTTAGTAATAAGAAATGTTTCTTTGGTTGATACGAAAAGATAAAGTTTAGTTTTTTCGGCAGAGAACTATAAGAAGTGATTTGTCCGATGTATCTTCATTGTGGGTTATTCACTGAATTAGAAACATTATTTCCATGTCATCATTCATCATCGTTTGGTGCTTTACCATGCTTGCTGATGGAATACAATGTGGGATATTCCGGTTTCAATTATCACCCATTGACTGTCTGTAGTGTCACACGGTTGACGACTAGAGGAACTGAAAATATGTACGACATTAGTTAAAAGTGTAAACAAGAGAAGTCAGAGTATAAACAGTTAAACTGGTATCCAATTAGTATGTCAAGATGGAGTAAAGTGTAGAATAGTAATGGTTTTATGACCGTTGGGCTTGCATTGAAATTAGGCGGGAAAAATTGTGTACACAGCACTGAGGTCCCTACTCCAAGATGCAAGAAATCGCGCGCGCAAACTTCAAAAGGTCCCTTTTCCAGCCAACCAAAATGGTAGTCGATCTCATAGTAGAATTTGACCGTAGAGAAATTTACTAACTAACATTAATTTTGTTGAAACTACGTTATCATATTTGTTCATAATTTTTAAACTTAAACAATCATCCAAAGTCACAGCAAGTTGTTCATATATTGATAATCTATTGCAGAAATACCGTATTTCTTGTTTTCGGTCGGAGCATGAAACGCAAAATGGGGCAAAATTTGGCAAAAGCTTTAACGTATTATATCAGTAAGATGATTTGATTATAAGGCTGTAGGTACCTCCAATCCTATACTTAATCAGATTTGCTGGTCAAAGATAATTCGGTGACAAATCGAATGAAATGCGTGTAGATTCGGCTGAATTCTAGCACATTCAAGCACATTTTTCTAATCCTAGTAGGTAGATATAATGACGTGGTCATGGTAAGTAAACAAAACTTGAGCATAAAGTTAGCTACTATATTATTGTTAGAAATTACCACAATTGCACTTTTAAACTTTAAAACTGAATCACCAATCAATTCTGGTCACTATTTCAAAGTTTTGAGTCGGCAGAATGTTGTGAATTATGGTTCCTAAGCTATCACTCCAGTTCAATTACACTTTTAAACTTCAAAACTGAATCACCAATCAATCTGGTCACTATTTCAAAGTTTTGAGTCGGCAGAATGTTGTTAATTATGGTTCCTAAGCTATCACTCCAGTTCAATTACACTTTTAAACTTCAAAACTGAATCACCAATCAATCTGGTCACTATTTCAAAGTTTTGATACGGCAGAATGTTGTGAATTATGGTTCCTAAGCTATCACTCCAGTTCAATTACACTTTTAAACTTCAAAACTGAATCACCGATCAATTCTGGTCACTATTTCAAAGTTTTGAGTCGGCAGAATGTTGTGAATTATGGTTCCTAAGCTATCACTCCAGTTCAATTACATTTTCTTACTTCAAAACTGAATCACCAATCAATCCTGGTCACTATTTCAAAGTTTTGAGTCGGCAGAATGTTGTTAATTATGGTTCCTAAGCTATCACTCCAGTTCAATTACACTTTTAAACTTCAAAACTGAATCACCAATCAATCCTGGTCACTATTTCAAAGTTTTGATACGGCAGAATGTTGTGAATTATGGTTCCTAAGCTATCACTCCAGTTCAATTACACTTTTAAACTTCAAAACTGAATCACCAATCAATCCTGGTCACTATTTCAAAGTTTTGAGTCGGCAGAATGTTGTTAATTATGGTTCCTAAGCTATCACTCCAGTTCAATTACACTTTTAAACTTCAAAACTGAATCACCAATCAATCCTGGTCACTATTTCAAAGTTTTGATACGGCAGAATGTTGTGAATTATGGTTCCTAAGCTATCACTCCAGTTCAATTACACTTTTAAACTTCAAAACTGAATCACCGATCAATCCTGGTCACTATTTCAAAGTTTTGATACGGCAGAATGTTGTGAATTATGGTTCCTAAGCTATCACTCCAGTTCAATTACACTTTTAAACTTCAAAACTGAATCACCAATCAATCCTGGTCACTATTTCAAAGTTTTGAGTCGGCAGAATGTTGTTAATTATGGTTCCTAAGCTATCACACCAGTTCAATTACACTTCAAAACTTCAAAACTGAATCACCAATCAATTCTTGTCACTACTTCAAAGTTTTGAGACGGCAGAATGTTGTGAATTATAGCTCATAAGCTATCACTCCAGTTCAATTACATTTTCTTACTTCAAAACTGAATCACCAATCAATCCTGGTCACTATTTCAAAGTTTTGAGTCGGCAGAATGTTGTTAATTATGGTTCCTAAGCTATCACTCCAGTTCAATTACACTTTTAAACTTCAAAACTGAATCACCAATCAATCCTGGTCACTATTTCAAAGTTTTGATACGGCAGAATGTTGTGAATTATGGTTCCTAAGCTATCACTCCAGTTCAATTACACTTTTAAACTTCAAAACTGAATCACCGATCAATTCTGGTCACTATTTCAAAGTTTTGAGTCGGCAGAATGTTGTGAATTATGGTTCCTAAGCTATCACTCCAGTTCAATTACACTTTTAAACTTCAAAACTGAATCACCAATTAATTCTGATCACTATTTCAAAGTTTTGAGTCGGCAGAATGTTGTGAATTATGGTTCCTGAGCTAATAACGTGGTCATGGTAAGTTAATAAAACTTGAGCATAAAGTTAGCTACTATATAGTTGTTAGAAATTACCACAATTGCACTTTTAAACTTCACAACTGAATCACCAATCAATTCTTGTCACTACTTCAAAGTTTTGAGACGGCAGAATGTTGTGAATTGTGGTTCCTAAGCTATCACACCAGTTCAATTACACTTCAAAACTTCAAAACTGAATCACCAATCAATTCTTGTCACTACTTCAAAGTTTTGAGACGGCAGAATGTTGTGAATTATAGCTCATAAGCTATCACTCCAGTTCAATTACACTTTCTTACTTCAAAACTGAATCACCAATCAATCCTGGTCACTATTTCAAAGTTTTGAGTCGGCAGAATGTTGTTAATTATGGTTCCTAAGCTATCACTCCAGTTCAATTACACTTTTAAACTTCAAAACTGAATCACCAATCAATCCTGGTCACTATTTCAAAGTTTTGATACGGCAGAATGTTGTGAATTATGGTTCCTAAGCTATCACTCCAGTTCAATTACACTTTTAAACTTCAAAACTGAATCACCAATCAATCCTGGTCACTATTTCAAAGTTTTGAGTCGGCAGAATGTTGTTAATTATGGTTCCTAAGCTATCACTCCAGTTCAATTACACTTTTAAACTTCAAAACTGAATCACCAATCAATCCTGGTCACTATTTTAAAGTTTTGATACGGCAGAATGTTGTGAATTGTGGTTCCTAAGCTATCACTCCAGTTCAATTACACTTTTAAACTTCAAAACTGAATCACCGATCAATTCTGGTCACTATTTCAAAGTTTTGAGTCGGCAGAATGTTGTGAATTATGGTTCCTAAGCTATCACTTCAGTTCAATTACACTTGCAAATAAATACTTAATAAATAACAAAAATAAATACTTACTGATTGGACGATAGTCTGCTGCCACTGATCCGCAACTCTCCGCTCCAATCGGTTAATCTGGTGTGCTTGACATTTTGCTAGAAAGGGTAAACCCGGTTAAATGTAATCTGTCACAA